CAGGGATTATCTTCCCATTAAACACTAAGTCTTTAAATTGATGAATATTCTGATGTGACCCGAAAAGACTGATTCATGTCAGTTAAGTTCTTTTTTAATGTTAGTCTGTGGGTCCTGAGGACAGCAATCACAAGCCCTCCTTACACCTAGTGTGTCTCTGGTTTTGTAGGCTCTTTCAGGAGTTGATAACATCCTTCACAAAACAATCCACAGCCACTAGTACAGACATCAGCTGTAAGGCATCATTCAGAAAGACTTGTTTCTTTTTCCCTATGACACAGGAAATTGAGGATTAGCCTCAGAAGACACAAGTTAAACATTGTGAATACCTGCCTCAATCTCATTTTTCAGTTTAAGTTTAACCTTGTATTTGATTATACATTTTATGTGAACATGAGTCTTTTCAATTTTAAATGTATTTTCTCTTCTCACTTCTAGACAGATGTGGGCAAGACAGCTTTGCAACTTGAGAAGGATTTACCTAGAAAACCACCTTCCACTTTTTATGTGATAAATAATTTTATTTATTCTTTTTTTACTGTTTTGTTTTTACTTGAATTATTTTGTTTCTAATACTCTTTACCATAAACTGTGTTCAGCTTTTACTTTGTCCAGGACTTGCCAGTATTTCAACTCACTTTAATCTGGGTAATCACAACTAATGCACACTAGCAAATAGATTGCAGAACATGATAATCTTTCCTGGTCATTGGATATTTTCTCTTTCAGTGAAATCACTGACATTAAGTGATTTAAGTTATTACATTAAGTGGTTAAGTGGTTCAGAAGGATGAGAATGTGGGAGATTGCACCAACTGCAATGTCACCAAAGTAAGTGGAGACACTCTGCCTGCTAGAAACCCATAACTCTCCTGCCATGGGACATACTTGCAGCACCTCTGGTGGCAAGCATTTAGCAAGTTCTTGCAAAATTCCAGGCACTGTTGCAATAAAACGTGTCTGTCACAGGGAGTGGAGGCCAGGAGCAGAGGCAAATAAAGAGGTCAAATCAGAACGTGTATTTGCAGTATTTTTAAAGAAGAATTATGATCTGTTGTAAAATGAGCAAATGTCTCAGGAACTTTGTATAAGCCAGCAATCACTTATTGCACAGGTTAAACTATTTTTTTTTCCTGCACAATTGCCCAGCAGAGCTAACAAAGCTGAATCTGCAGTTCTGAGACTCACAGGAGGAAATAAAACTCCTGTCTATTAAAAGGATACGACAGTATATGGAAGATACAAAGGGTTGTTAAATAAAGGTCTTTCCCACTGCATGTGCCTTTGTAGTGATATATTTTTAAATGTGTTTAAATTATCAGACCTGAATTTTTCTAATCCTGTCATGAAGGACTCTAGTACAGTAAAGAAATATACTTTAAACATTGGTCACTGTAACAATATCCTTTCCTTAGTGAGTGTTTAAAAAAAATGAAATGAGTGGAATTGTGGCTCACAAGAGAAGGAAGAAAGCCATGAATAAAAGTCTACAGAAGCTTTGAGGTGCCACTACAAAGGCTCTGCCTCAAGAACTATGGAAGCAATCAAGGTGGTGAAAAAGTGAATCTTGCTGCTAAATATAAATGGGGGAAGTAAAATCCATGCTTCTGTGCTATTGTTATGGACTTGACCTTGCTGGGTACACAGCTCCTAGCTAGGGGCTCTGCTGTGACACCAGCTGAGGGGAGCTCCAGGGAAAGCAGGAGTGCCTGACTTGCTTTTCCACTCATCCTTGTTTGTGTTTCTGCTGCTGGCAAGGCTGGTGCTGAAGGCTCTGTCTGTTACCTGAGAGTTCCAAAGTGTCCTATTAAGACAACAAAGACACTCATCCCTGTGCATGGGGAGTTTAGTCGTAGTCCAAATCTGTCCCTTGATTCTTGTGTGTGAGAAATCCTTTCTGCACCAGAGGGTTCTGCTTCCAGAACAAACCTGGACAAGCCACAGCACCCAGAAGCAGGCAGGGTATGGCTGTAAATACAAAAGATTTATACAGGTGAATTATCAAATAATATCCAAATTCAATACTGTGGCACTTTCTACAGCTGTAAGAAAAAAAGAGAGAAAAACCCCAAAAAATAAAAGAAAGGTTTTTACCTCTTCAGTATTTCTTCTAACTAGGAACAAAGGAGCTGTTTACATCCAAAAACCAAATACTTAAGTCATCCACAACAGGGAGATCTGCAATATTGTATTTTTGTATGAGAATTAGAAGCAATTATAGCACTGTCCCAAGATAAAAACCAGCCGACAAAGGTGTTTCAATTCTAGTCATGGATGATAAACAGTGTGGAGGTGAAATGCTGCAGCTGCTGAGTGATAGAGATTGCTATCAGGATTAAACAGGAAGGCTGTGTTTTACAGGATCAAGAAAGATTAGCCATGTGTTGAATATGGGATTATGAAGTAATTAAATAAATGAAGACACGTTTCTGACACAAATTCTACATGTAAGAGAGTAATTACTCACTATACAATGTTTCTGTAATTTATCATTCAGGTCTTTGACTGGCAGGCAGAGCAGCCTATTTCATACTCAGTGAAGTCAACAGTACTGAGGTCAGCAAAGGACTGAGCTTGGTTCACAAGTGTGTTTTACAGGGGTGAACTAACTGCTCCTATAAATATATAATGGGTAGAACTCCTGCATGTTTTGGGGGAAACAATGTTCTGCTGCTTTTTACCAAGTCAAGCCTAGGAATTCATGAATTGAAGAATTGGTCAAGGGAGAATTGAGTTGGTTGGATCTCCAGTGGGATGAAGAAAGCAGTAATTAGTGCATCTATGCACAACTGTCATGGTGTATAAAAGACCTAAAATACTTAGCAGGTAATAGGGATTGTGCTTGGTGGTGCTGAAATGCAGTGGTATCTGGGGTGAAACATGAGTCAAATGGAACTGTGTAAAGCTGAATGGCCATGGATTTCTGTAAGGTCACAGGGGAAATCTTTAACCATCAGATTTGAAATGGTGAAAGATCTTTACTATCTGTGCAGAAGAGACAAATTCTCTGTTGTTAAAAGCCTTACAGAAAAGGCCCATACAGAATAAACTGAACAGTACCCCGTTAATCTAAGTAAGAAGGGAGGAAGCTTGTGCTGACCCTGCCTGGTGGAAGTTAAACCTTATCTCCCACAGAAATGAACAGTTTATAGGATGGCCTGTGCACAACAGAGAGAGATTTGAAAGGAATATGTGCCCTGGGCCACCTTCAGCAAAACAGTACAGTCCATTGTAGAAGGGAAGGCAGAGCAAGGCTTTTAGGTAAGGATTTACATCCAAATCTGTAGGGCTTCAGTTTGGATTTCTTCTATTTGTTGCTTTTATTGGGTTATATTTTGCCCTCCTGCAGGCATGTAGTTTTCATTAGATTCTATGTGCACCAAGGGGAGGATTCAATGCGGGGCACTTACGTGCACGTCTTTGTTCTGTGCTGTTAAAATTAATAAAACTTCACCATTTTTTTAAATCCCAGAGGATTTTGTTGAGGTGACATCACATTTGGGAGCTGTATTTAAAATCAGATTTAGGACTAGATCTGTGTCCTGTGTTCAGTGCTCAGATGCAGCAGTAAAAAAATAAATAAACATGGTCTTTTTCTGTAATACTAAAGAAATGCCTAATGTGTCTGTCAGGAAATGTGGAATTAACCTTGTTGACAGCTTTTTTTGGGAGAGAAAAGGCATTATTTACATGACAGTTTAATAAACCATATTTGAAAAATATCACATGGGACAGTAGTCACAGCTGTATTTAAAATGACCATCAAAGTGTATGTCCTCATTTTAGGGCATCATATGATATATCAGAGGATGAGTTCCCTGATGTAGGGAACCAGCCAACCCCTCCCTCCCACCTCCTCCACTGACAATGGAGAACTGTCCTTTTTATCCCTGGAGAAGGTCTCCTCCTTTCAGCCCAGTTCCCAGACCGATGCAGCTCCTCTGTGTTTTTAACAACAGGAGCCGGTTCTCAGTGCAGCCTTCTGATCCCCCGGGCAGTGTCCGAGGTCATTCCCCAAGGCAGGAGCAAAACCTCCTCACAGCCTGGGCTGTGCTGGCCCAGGGAGGGACCGATCCCCAACAAACCCGGGATCACCTCTGGCCTTTGGAAATGTCACTGCTCCCGCCAGTCGTAAAACCATTGACTCAAGACAGTCATCCCTTCCCAGGGCTTATGAAAGCTGGTGTTTGACAGGGGTTTTATGTTTTTAAGGCCACTTTTATGTCTCTTCAGATCACAGTGGTAATGAAGACTTCACTGATGATTTATCCCAAGAGATCATCCCCAGATATGATCACGGGGACGATCTCCAGGTATCGTCACCGACACCCTCCCCAAGATTCCCCACAGACCTCCTTCTCAGGATTGCTTACAGCTTTCCTCTCCAGGTATTGTCACCGACACCCTCCCCAAGATTCCCTACAGAGCTCCTTCCCAGGATTGCTTACAGCTCTCCTCTCCAGGTGTCCTCACAGACACCTTCCCCAAGATTCCCTACAGAGCTCGTTCCCAGGACTGCTTAGAGCTTTCCTCTCACAGACACCCTCCCCAGGTTTCACTGAATCCCGGATGGTTTGGATAGGAAGTCATCTCTGGAGATCACCCAGCCCAACTGCAATGCCGGGGCAGGGTCACTTGGAGCGGGTGGCACAGAACCGTGTCCAGATGAGTTTAGAATGTCTCCACACAGGGACACTGCACACCCTCCCTGGGCAGCCGTTCCGGGCACCCTCCACCTCAAATTCTTCCTCATGTTCAGGTGAAACTTGCGTTCAATTTACGGCTATCGCTGGGCAGAGCAAAGAACAGAATGCAGCAGCCTCCCCTTGGCAGCCGCCCTTGCGGAGTTTAACCGGCCCCGCTCCGCGCCTGCGGAGCGCGGCCGCACCTCAGCGCTCCCGAGGCCCGGCCCGGCCCGGCCCTGCCGCGCTCCGCCCCCGCGCTGCGGCGCGCCCCGCGCCCGCCAGGGGGCGCCAGACCGCGGCCGCGCCCGCCCCGCGCGCACCCGCACCACGGACACGGCGGGCGCGGGACCCGCCACGGGCAGCGGCTGGCGAGGGCTCCGGCGGGGAGACGGACAGACAGACACACAGCTAGACGCACAGACAGACGGACAGCAGCACCGCCACAGCGCGCACACAGAGCGCAGCGGCACCGCGCACAGCTCAGCCGCACCGCGCGGGGCTCAGCCACAGCGCAGCGCTCAGCGGCGGAGGACGAGCGGCGCTCGGTGCCGGGAGCCCGGCCGGCGGCACTGCCCGGAGGTAGGAGCTTCCCCTCCGCCCTGCCGGCCAAACTTCGCGGGGCTGCGCCCGCGGGGGGCTTGGCTGCGGTTCTGCACCGCTGCTGTCCGCTGGCTGCTGCCCGCCGGGCCAGCGGCCCGATTTGCTTTTATTGCTGTTATTATTATTGTTGATATCGGTGCTGCTCCCCGCCCCTCCGGGCTGGCCGGGGGGTGGCTGCGCTCGGCGGAGCTGCAGCTCCGCAGGCAGAAGTTGGCGAGGGCCGTGCCGGGCGAGCGGCCCCGACTCGGGTCCCCTGAAAAGTTGGGTGCCCGAGCAGCCCCGTGCCCTGCCGGCCCCCGCCGCTCCTCGGCCCGCTCCTCTCGTTGCAGATGTCGGGGGTGCTGCTGATCGCTGCCTGGTGCTTCCTGCAAGTGGAGAGCCGGCATCCCGAAATCATCACGAGTAACAGCAACCATGGCAATTTCCTGGACAACGACAAATGGCTGAGCACCGTTTCGCAGTACGATAAAGACAAGTATTGGAACAAATTCCGGGATGTAAGTACTTCTCCCTTCAGCGCACGTTCCTTATTCCTTTGACCGTAGCATCCTTCCAGAGGCTGCTGGCTGCCAGGAGCTGTGGGTAGAAGAGAAATGCAGCTTGGGCAACCGGTTGCTGCCTGTGTGAAGGATGCTCAGAGCTGTCTGGGAGCTGGACAGACCGTCCTGGCATTCTTGATTTACCCCATCGATTGGGACTGTCTGGGCTCCGTGTCAGTCTCGCTGTTCTTACGGTCTTCGATCTTCCTCTGGGGAAGAACTTTGAGTGAAGTTTCAAATGCTTGCTGCTTAAGAGTCTGCTTAACTGAAAAATGATGGAATGGTGTGTGTGTAAGGAGGAATACTTACCAGTTCAAGCCACAAGGTGGTAAACAGCGAAGCTTTCTGTGCCTGCAGTTTTTGTGAAAATTATTTTATTGTCAATTCTGCCTGTAGAGCTCTTTGAGGCTGGTATAGCAGGAAGCAGTGCTTTGGCTTTTTTTTTTTTTTCTTGCAGGCTGGAAAAAAGGGATATTGTCAAGATGTGTTATGATGTGTTATCTGTATAAAACAAATTAATTTCTTAAGCTCAGAATTAATTCTAGACTTCCCCTAGTTTTAATACAATCGTGTATTAAGTCAATGACAGCAGAAAGAGAAATGCAACTTTTTTTTAATAGAAGTAATATTTAAGTAGTTCCTTTTGCTTCTGTCTGTACGCTGAAGAAGCTTTTTTGGAGCGCACAGAAAACCCTGCTTCAGTCTGCCCAAGACTATGTGATAGAAGCTTTACTGTTCGTGTTGATCGTGAGCACAGTGAGGTTAAACGTTCTTTATTTTCTGGGATTTGTGCACCGTGGCCACAGTGAGGCTCTAGGAAAGGGAAGACTAGAGCTGGCTAGCAGTTCTGGTAGTACCCTTCTTTAAGAATCTGTTTATTTAGAAGTCTTGATCTTTTATAGGATATTAACAAGTCCAACTTCTATGGTCTGCTTTTGTCTCTGTGATCCTAAAATTGGATCTGGCTTTGCAAAGGGGAAGTCAAAGTATTGCAGTTAAATGTGGTGTGTCCCTGCTTAGCTTATTCTCCCTGTGTTTTGCTGGAGTTTTGGTCATCTCTGTGTGAGAGATGCTGCTTGGAATCTGAGCATAACAAAGTGTGGCCTTAGCAATGGCATCAATTAACAGCTGTCCTGGAGCGTGTCCTCCCGTGCAGTCACCGATCACATCCTCCTGCTGGGACTGCCGAGTTCTCCTACAGAAAAAGGGATTCCACAGGAAACATGGATTCTTAGATTTACCAGACTTCAAGGGAATCTTTGTAAATACCTGGTTTAGTCTTCTGGGGAACAGGGGTGGAGGATTTCACTTGTTAATTTCTACATCCTACTTGATGTGAGAGTTGAGCAGCATTTGAAAATGGTAAATGGAATGAAATTGCCACATTAATCTGAAAACACTTCTAACTAGAGACAGATTTGTAGCAAGCAATCTTTCAACAGTCTCCTTCCAAATGGAGGCCTCATGTTAATCACAAGACTTAAAGGTTTTATTTAAATTTATGTAATTTTTATGTTTTCTGCTTTCCTCTTTCTTTCATCTTTAAAACTGGAGTCTCTGCAACTTCTTGTCCCTTTTCCCAAGACACAGTCTCACAAGTCCAGGGAAACTATTCCTCTTCTTATGGAAAATATTCATGAAGAATACCTCTCATATTTCAAGATTTCATGGCCAAGAATGCTTTTTTAGACCTTATGAAAATGCTAAAAAATCCCATAAAGCCTCAAAACCCTTACATGTTAGAAGATTTATTCTATGGAAAAGTAAAACCAGCCTTAAGCAGTGGTCTACCAAGCAAAAGCAAATAATATAAAGTTCATGCAAAGCTTAGGTATCTATCTGGCCATCTTAATGGTTCTACTGAATTACTTCAAAACTAGAATTTTGCATGTGATTATTCATGAAACCTTTTATGGAGCAAATTAACAGAGACTAATAATCATCTCCTACTAAGCCTTTTCCAAAAAGAAAATATAAAAAGCTTACATATGTAATTAAGCTCGTAATTACTTGTCTTCAACCAGATTGATTTATTGGATCGTAATCATCCGTGAGAGGTTCTGTGCCCACAGATGGAGACGTGCATAGGTAGAGCTGCTGCCAGCATAGCAGGTCTAGCAGTGACAGCACACTTCTTGCATGCAGAGATGTGGTTAGAAGAAATCTGGTTCTTACTTCATGGCTGTGCTGCTGGGGGTAGAGTCCAAAATATTTGTTAAAACATTTCTTAAAAGGCTGTGCCTGATGCGACGCATCATAAGAGTATTACTGGCTGTGGATGGGCTCGACCAGCATTTTGTGGATAAGTGTTGATTTCTAGGAAAATTACCTTCCCTCTTCCCCTCATTGCCAAACTAATAAACTAATTTTATAGATATGATGTCTACCTGAGATTCTCAGTGTAGGCTTTGCACAGAAGGCCGGCGTGCAGAAGGGGTGTTGCAGTTAAAACTTTCTTGGATCTGACACTGCAGTTACAGCCTTGGACCTCATAAATCAGCAGAGGCAAGGTTGCAGTAATTAGCACAATTACCCTTAGCTGCTCTCTGAAATTTATGTCATGTTATGTAAACATGTTTGCACAAATATTTGCATGACTGTACCCTTCTGTACAGTGGGGGAAAACGCTGAAGGTGTGGAGCTGAGGTTTGAGGCTCAAAGCTCTGAGGAGGTGTGGCCACTTGATGTGCTTCAGCACAAACATCTGCACATACAGATGTGCACATAAATCTGTCATAATGTTGCAGTACTGGGAGGGTTGTTTACCCAGATTGCAATTGAATATAAAATTTTAAATTAGGCATTTCTCAACTTTTTCAGTTACTCTTTTCAAAATCAATTGGTTGGTCAGCTTGATTGAACTGTGGGCCAATATGGCCTAATTTTGATTGATTTTTTTTAAATTTTGGGGTTTTTTTTAGTATGATCCATATTTCTTTTGGGAAAAGGCAGCATGGTAATTGGATTTATTATCTCAGCAGTCACTACTTTTCTGCGAAAAGAGGGCACAGAAGTACACCTCATTTGAAATCTGCATTACAGCCACAGAATCATGTTGTTTTTAAGTGTGACTGAATTCAATAGTTTGAAATGTGTCATCATTTTCCAAAGGCTTAAAGAGATGTGTCTAAAATAACAGTTTACAACACAATCTTTTCATGTGATTTGAACACAATTTGTTGGTTAGGTTCTCCATTAAAAAAAAAAAAAATCAGCTGTAAATAAATAGTAAGACCACTGTGACCAATCTGTTGTGAAACATTTGCTGTTGAAAATCTTGTATATTTTACATCTGCCCAGCATCAATAACAGTGCAATGTCTGTGGTATTAATAAGTTTTCAGTGCAATCTGAACCTGTTATTCCAATCTGTCTTTTACCCCTTTTTCCTCCTCTGCCATGGACTTCGTGTGATACATGACGAAATCTTAGTTGTACCTTATGTTTCATTTTATAGCTGGGGATAATAGTATTTTTCTTCCTCAAAACTATATGTTGAAGCTGTAAATAAGAAAAGACAGCACTCAGAATCTGTGGTAATATGGAATTTATTATTCACCTAATCCATATATTGAATGTGGCTTGGTACATACTTAAGTAACTGACTAGTAAGTTTCTAAAAAATAAGAAGTAAATCAATGTAATTATTACTGGAAAAAGAAAAAAGTAAGCAAGATGCACTCTCTAGGGAGGACCTCCAAATATTTCCCTTGTGCAGATCTGAGGCTTGGAAAAGCAGACATCAGAATTATGGAAGTCAAATTAGACCTTCTGATACCAGGAATCCAAATATGAAGACCTCGATCTTTGATCAAACCTGTGGAGAGGGATCCCTTGGCTTGAGAGAGGCTTCAGAATAGATTTGGTAGCTGAATGTGAATTCTTATGAGCCTTAGGAAGCGTTTATTGTTATGGGAATAAGCATACATGTTGTTGTAGCAGGTCACACTGCAGCATCTCATTGTGCTCATAGAGGCTTGGCACAGAAGAAATGTCATTTTAGTGTTAGATCTGTTTTTAATCAAAATTATATGAACAGACTAATTCTATTACTTCTGCTTGGACTTATGTCTATTACATTATCAATGCTTATATGTAAAAAGGTAGTAAGTTCAACTAGCCATGGATTAAACTGCAAAAAGGAAGAAAATGGTTAAATGAACTAAGAGGATCTAGTATAAACCACACAAGAAATTTCTGTGAAGTTGAAAGCTAAGAATCTTGGCATGAACTCTGGTTTCAGTGCATGTTTATGCATGGCAGGCTGCCAGACCACATTCTGAACATTAACTAAGCTGTTTCTCTAAATTTTATTGCTTACAGAGTTTCAGTTCAGGCTATCATGTTAAAACCTCCATGCATTTGATGCCTGGAGATGCTTTGAGACTGACTGTGCAAGCCTGAGAAGCAAGGCATAAAATGTCATCATCTGTGTATATACATTGCTCAGACTTACTGGGGATAAATAGTTGCACATAACTATTCATGCTGAGGATGGTTATCAATAGATTAGATAAATATTAGACTTCTGACACAAACCACTGAAGGGACAATTTTGTCAGCTATTAATGTACATCACCTTTCTGAGCCTGCAGATTCCTCTTCACACCTGATCAAAAGTGCAGTTAGGTGACAAAACAAATACAGGATTAGGAACTGGGGGATTTGCATCATTCCAGCTTTGCCACTAATTTTTGTCATTTGGGCTGTCTCTTCACACTTCTTCACTGCACTTCCCCTTGTTGGCTCTTACCTTTCTCTGATTTTTTAGCCCCAAATTAGAAGTGTGGTAGTGAAACTTGATAGCAGGGAGTTGGAAAACATGACCAGTACTGAGAAGGGTTGGAATATCAAGCAGGCAGAATTGGAAGACCTTGGGAACTCAGGTAATAGAAATGAAATGAAATTTAAAAGTACAAAGTGGAAGGTCATGGAATTGAGAGCTAACACAAATTTATT